CTAAAACATGCAGGGATAGAGTAGAGTACTCGAAAATGGGGGAGGGTACAGTATATGAATGACCTGTAACCTTGGGGGTTCGGGGGCATGCTCCCCCGAGAAAATTTTAAAATTTGAACCTCGGAAATGCTATTTCCTGCGTTTTCAGCCATGGATAATTATCTTAAGCCCAGATTTTCTCATGGGGGGGCAACAATTTTGCCAGAGAACACCACTGGCTATCGTATGTCAGAGGCTCCAAAGGCGGTAGAATCCCTGTGATGTTATCCACTGTTCACCCCGTGTTCTTTTAAGCAAATGTGCCTGCTCAAAAATGCAAAATCTTGCAAGCCTGTGGACACAATACTGAAGTGAAGAGCATCAGTAGAGTTACATGTAGAAATTTTTTTTTTGAGCGCTCTCTTTTGCATGATATTTTTTTTCTCGATTGTGTGCTGCATGACTTTTTTTTCTTTCTCCTTGGGTTGCAGGAAATTTTTTTCCGAAATCTTCCACCCCCTGCCCCTCAAAAGTCAAATGGTCCGCCCCTAACAAGACTATTACAAAGACGATATGTTCGAAGGGGCCGAAGTTATTTTCGGCGAAAGGTACGGCTAGTCTATATTTTTGTTCAGACAATTGCGTAATTTGATACAATATGATCGTGTTTGACTTTCAAAGGCACATAAATCGCTACAATGTTGATAATGACTATAACCATAGGGAGGAATTAGTTGAATCTTTTATTTCTGAATCGAATGGTGGTATTTCTGTCTTCATAGCATGCACTGAACCGAAGATATTAAATTTCTTGCAATCGTTCAGTGCTGAACGACGACACTGGGCTGTGGTGAAAAGGAGTTAATTAAACTACTTTTTGTTGAGATCATAATTAATTCTATAACTTTTGTCTGTGGCGTGTGCTATCGACCACCAAACTATAACGCGGAAGACAACAATGCCTTTTTAGATAATTTGCAGTCCAGTTTAGACAATATATACCTGAAACCGGATACCTTTGTTTTACTCCTTGGGGATTTTAATGCTCATTACGATACTTCCAATCCGTCATTAAGTAGTGCTTTTGGTACATGATTTTATAGTTGGATGGCATGCAATAACCTTTTTCAAGTGATAAATGAACCAACACGTATAACATCGGAGGGTGCTACACTATTGGACCTCATAATAACAAATTCGCCGGGATACTTCGTAAATTCTGGTACTCTAAGCCCACCAAGCAACTGTGACCACCTATTAATCTATGCTCGAATGAATGTTTCTTTTGTTAAACTAAAATCCTATACCCGTCATGTTTGGGATTTGTCAAGAATGGATGAAAACGTTTTGCAAGAAGCGCTTTCAAATGTAAATTGGAATGATATATTCCTAAACAATGACGATATTGATAACTTATATGCAGAATGGTTTAAATGCTTTTATCAAGTACTTTTAAAGCATGTTCCACATAGAACAGTTAGAATTCGTCCAAGGGATAAACCTTGGGTAAATTCTGAAATTAGCAGGGCAATTCGGAAAAGAAGTAGATTGCTAAAATATTACTGTAGACATAAGAGTCCAGAAGCCTGGGAAATTTATAGAAGGCAAAGAAATTTTACTACAATGCTTATATGCAAACACAAGCTAATCTATTACGATACTCTTAATGCAAAATTACAGAACCCAAAAATAGGACCGAAAAAGTGGTGGAGCATAGTTAAGTCGTTATATGGAAGCAAAATCCAATGCTTAACACCGACCTGTATTGAGAATAATTGTTTGGTATCTGATGCAAAAGAAAAAGCTGCATTATTTAATGATTATTTTGTCACTCAATCTAGAGTTAATGACACAGATGCTACTTTACCTAATGTAGAGGTTTTGCAAAGTTACATAAGTTTTTTTAAGTTTAGATATAGGTAATGAGAACCATATTGGTGTCCTAGTAATAAATCTATGTCACAACAGTCCCTAAATGTTAGATAAAAATGTAGTTTTTTTAAGTTTAGATTTTGGTAATGAGAACCATATTGGTGTCCTAGTAATAAATCTATGTCACAACAGTCCCTAAATGTTAGATAAAAATGTAGTGTGAAATATGATAGTGGGAAGGCCTCGTGTTGTTGGCACAATGCATGCTTATGAAAAAATTTTTTTGATAAGTCTGAGAATAAACATAAAGAACCACTTGTATATGTATAAATGTGAACCTAAGAAATGTAAGTGTAGGTGTAGACTTGTGGAACAAAGAATGGAAATGCGTGTGTGAAATTGAAATTGAAAATTTTTTTAGATCATACTCACGGAGTATGATCTCGCTGTACTAAAAAGCTTGTATGGAGGCATGTAAAATATATAAGGCGAGAGAAGGAGATAATCATGTGTGTAAAATTCAGTATCCCTGTATGCAGCGTTTCGTCCTTCATGGACTCGTCAGCAGGGATTGGGGGAAACAAGCAAAACATTGTTGGTAGTTAGTTGAAAATGGACTGATAATTTTGAAGGTATATAATGTAAACCAATGGGGAATTCTAGATATTAATGATGTAGTACTTTCCCAATGGTTTCCATATACCATACCAAAATGGTGATAGTGATATTTTTCTACTTAATAAATAGTGATATTGTACAATAATGATGTATATGTCTGTTTGAGAATTACATCTAAAAACAATCTTCTTGATAGTGCGGTAGTTAGTCCATGGCTATAATGATAGCTGTGTAATTCTGTAGTTGTTCGAATATACATTGGGTTCCCAGTGTTTAAATGTATGCCAGATGGTTTGTTCTTGTTTTGCTGTTCATCTGCTTCAAGTGAATGATCCTATGCTTGCCAGTTGTACTGATAACTTGTGTTTGCAGTTGAGTTTGTGTCATTCTTCAGTTGGTGGTATTGGAAATGGGATGGTAGGTGGTTATTAAATCAGATAACCCCCCAGCTGATGACATGTCAGTTTAGTTACGTTGTCTCATTTTGTTCTGTTTTTTTGTATTCTGATATTTTATTTTAGTTTCGCTGAAACCAATGTGTCTTTGAGGTTTTTGTTTTTTTGATATGCTACAATTAGAGGTTCTGGCCATAGAATTCGCAATGTAGGATCATTTTCAATTATGTTCCAGTGTTTACGTAGTATTTGTGCAATATATTTTGTATTACTATTGTATTGAGTTGTGAATATTGGCTTGTTATTTGTTTTGTTTGTATTTTCCGTTTTATAAAGTAATTCATTCTGTGTGTATAGTAGTACTTTGTTAAAAGATGTAATAATGTTGTCATGTTTATAGCCTCGGTGAATGAGGGCAATTAGTAGGTTGTACAGTCTTTGTTGTAGTCTTGTATTGTCAGTGATGATGCGTCTATATCGTAGTGCTTGGCTGTAGATGATGGAATTTTTGCATGTTTGGGGGTGAAAGGAGTTTTGGTGTAGGAGTAGAGTTCTATCGGTTGGTTTGATGTATAAGTCTGACTCAAGTTTGTTGTTGGAGTTAATGTAGATAGTTCTGTCAAGGAAGCTAACTGATTCGTATGAGTATGTGTAGTCAAATTTAATTGTGGGGTGGAAGTTGTTAATGTATTCAATGCCATGAGTCCAAATCGCAAATATGTCATCTATGAATCTTATCCATTCAATTGGTATAAGACCCTGTGGGATAAGATGTCAATAACTGATTGTGTTATTTCGGGAGTTATTATATTGTTTTCATTCAACATATCTACACAGGCTTGGATGCCTTGATCATTAGGTATGTTGGTGTAGAGACTCCTAACATCTAATGTGATAAGTATGATATTGTCCAGTAAGTCCTGATTTAGTGATGGTATATGTTCTAGCAGTGGTTTGAGGAGGTGGTCAGCATATTGAGAGAGCTTGACAGTCGGCCCTCCACAACCTGAAATTATTGGTCTACCAGGATTGTCTTGTTTGTGAATTTTTGGTAAAAGATAGAGTTGTGGTGTCCTTGCTTGATTTTGATTTCTATTGTTAGAAATTTGTGTGTTGTGTTGTCAATTATGTTTGAAGTGTGGAGTTTATTGGCAAGTCTCTTGGCTTCTGCTAGTGTCTCAAGGGTTGGGTCGTGTGTAAGTTTTCGATAATGATTTGAATCATTTAATTGTCTATATGCCTCAACTAGATAGGCATCTTTGGGCCAGATAACAATGGCTCCTCCCTTATCTGCTGGTTTAACAATCAAATCATTATCAGTTTTAAGATTATGGATAGCTTGTAGTTCATCTTTAGATATATTTGTTTTGCACGTTCTTTTTGTTCCTCATATTCTGTTTTCAGGTCTTGGTAAATGTTTGAAATGTATTCTTGAAGGTTGCTGTTATCTGGAATCGGGGCTGTGAAATTTGTTGGTAGTTTAAATGGGTGTCTCTTGTTATTTGTGTTGTGCCTGAAGAAATATCTGTTGTACATGTGTTTTCTGTATTTTAGGAATGAGTTATAAATTTGCTTGTAAGGTGTCGGTTTGGGGGAAGGGATATAAGACAAGCCTTTAGATAGTGCTATTAGTGTGGAATTAGAAATGTTTTTATCTGATAGGTTAATAACTGCTTTGTGTTGTAGGTTGTTGTGCATTTTTTTGTGTAATTTGTTTTTACTAAGGTATCTGTTATTTTTGGTGTTACGTGGTATTTTCATGAACTTAAGTATAGTGTTTTTGTTGTATTTATTAGTATTCATGTTTGTGCTTGGCGTGTATGTTGTGGTTATGTTTTGCATTATTTCTGTAGTTTGTGCGTTTGGTTTAGAAGAAAATAATGTATTTGGGATTGTACGTTTCAGGTTATGTTGTGTGGAATATTGCTTGTTTGTGTGTTGTGGGTGCCATCTGTTTTGTGGGATGTGTTGCCAGTGGTGAGTGTTAGTAGGTGGTGGTGTTCTGTTCTGTTGTTGCAAATTGTTGGTCTTGGGTTGTTGTGTATTGTAGGTTTGCTGAGAGCGTGGTGGTATTCGTAGTTTTGGTGTTTGAGGATGTGTCAGAGTAGTATGTTGCATGGAGGTTCGAACTTGCATGAGAGGAGTTGTAGGGGTATGTGGTATTTGATTCGGAGTAATTGTCTGAGTTCTGTTATTACTGTGTGTATTGTTGTTATGATGGCGTTGTGGTGTTGACGTGTGTTGTTTCTGGAGTGTTTTTGGTGTTGTTGTAGTGTTCATTTGTATAGGGCTGTATGTGGTGTTATGTGCCTGTGTAAGCATATGGGTTTGTATGTGGCTGTGGAAGGTAGTTTGTGGTGTATTTGTTGTGTTTACATGTGTTGTGTGTGCTACTCGTTGTGTTTTTGGTGTATTTGTTGGATGTTGTATATGTTTTGTTTTCTGTGGTTGTCTTGTAATGTTCATTTGTGGTCTGTTTGAAGGTGTTAGTTCTTTCAATTGTTTTTCAATGTGCTTGTTTTTGGTTTTAGTTTCTTTGTCCTGTGACCTATTGTTTAATGTCTGTAGTTTTTTTGCGGATGTGTTTTCTAGTCGTTTGGGTTGTTTGGCTGATTCGTTGAGTGCGAGTAAGGATCGTTCAAGGTAATCAAGGTTATGCATTGTTCAAGGTAATCGATGGTTGTGTCTAATAGAGCGAGGGAGGCATTCAAGAGGATATTCTCCCAGCTGTCTTTGAACATCTTGTCCATGTAGTGTTTACTTTTGTGGTGTATCCTTAGGCCCGGGGGTAATGTATTCATTCTCTTGTGTTCTCGTAGGTTCTCCAAGTTTGTAAGTAGTCTGCTGTGTCTCAGTTTCAGTCCATAGATTATTTTAAAAGATGTTAATAAGTGTGGTGGTACGTCAATAAAGTCTATTTTATTATGTGTATGGTCGTGCATGTTGTTACTGTTGTGAGTTGGGTGTTGGTTGGTAGAATTGTTTAGGTTTGAGTTGTTGTCAATGTTATTATCCTCGGTTATGTCCATGTCTTATATGTCATTGTTCGTTCTGTTGATAGTATGTTCAGCAATGTTTTGGTCAATTTCAGGTTTGTTTGTATGTTGTTCGTCAGTGTTTGGTAATTCAGTGTTTTGTTCATGTTTGCTTGTTGTATGGTTTTCAATTTCAGTTATTAAGTAGAGTTTGTCTGCTTCAAAGCTGTCGTCTATGTTAAAGTTGTCGTGCATGCTTAAGTTGTCGACATCAGCCAAAAGGGCATCCTCCTCAATCTCTGTAAGGTCAGGGGTCAGGTACGGGTTCGGATCTCTATAAGAGGCAGGGTCGGATGCAGGGTTGGATGCAAGGTTGGATGCAGGGTCAGTGGCAGGTTCAGTGGTAAGGTTGGGAGTGGGTTCAGGGTTGGGGTTGGTTTTATAGGGGACAACTGAAGAAAATAGTGTAGGGTTGTGAGAAGGGAGTAAAATTATATAGGCAGTATATAAAAAAGACTGTTTGAAAAAATAAGGGTTAGTTTCAAAAATTTGAAAAATTAATACACAGTGGTTGTATGACTGTATAGGTTAGCCAATGGGCTTATAAGACATTAAACATTCAAAGGAAATGTTTGTAGTGTCGTATTTGGTAAGACACTTTATTCTTTACATTTATTTCACAATAATCATACACATATTTTACTATTTTATGTTTATTCACTCTGTAATCCAAATCGGTTTCTGTATTCTATCCTTATACATGTGCCAACCTCAATCCCTGCTGACGAGTCCATGAAGGACGAAACGCCGTGTACAGGGATACTGAAATTTACACACATGACTTTCTCATCTCGCTTTATATATTTTACATGCCTCTATACAAGTTATTTAGTACAGTGCGATCATACTCTTTGGGTCTGATCATTTTTTACACAACAGGATATATTTTACTCTTACAATTTCATACACACATCTCCAATTTTATGTTACACAAGTCTATAACCTACACATATATTTCTTAGGTTCACATTTATACAAATACAAGTGGTTTTTTATCTTTTATCCTCAGGTTTTTCAAATACAACATTTTTTCACAGGCATACATTGTGATTGTGCCAACAACACCAGTCCATTACCCTATCATATTTCACACTACATTTTTTCATCTAACATTTAGGGACTATTGTGGCATAAAATTATTACTAGGACACCAATATGGTTCTCATTACCTACATCTAAACCAAAACAATTTGTGAAAAAATTGTTTTCGTCAGACTTTATAATTTTTTACTTGAAATAAATTTTCTAAACCCGTTTCAGTCTGGATTTCGTCCTGGTGTCTCTACTGTTAATCAACTTATTTTCATAGTTCACAAAGTTCATGAGGCTTTAGAGCTTGGTAAAGAAGTGAGAATGGTTTTCCTGGATATTAGTAAAGCTTTTGATAAGGTCTGACACAAAGGACTCCTCTTCAAGCTTGAGCGCTTAGGAGTGAGAGATCCTCTTCTAAAAGTTACTTAACTGAGAGAATAAAGAGTTACTTAACTGAGAGAAAACGGTGTGTCTTAACAGAGGGTCAGTCATCTGACTGGAAAAAAATTGATTCGGGTGACCCTCAGGGCTCTGTTTTGAGTCCTTTGTTGTTTTTTATTTATATTAACGACATAACTCGTGACCTCCGAAGTAATAATTTTTTATATGCTGACAATACTTCTCTTTTGGAAATAGTAGATGATCCCTGTCTTACAGCTGATCGATTAAACCATGATCTTGAATGCATTAAAGCATGGACAAAAGATTGGCTTGTTACTATCAATCCAGACAAGACCAAATCAATGATATTCTCTGTCAAACGACTTAGGCCAAATCATCCTCCCCTATTTTTAATGATAATGAAATTCAAGAAGTTTTTAATCATAAACACCTAGGAGTTACACTTTCATCCAATTTAACTTGGACGGTGCATATTATTAATATACATGAGAAAGCTTCCAAAAGGGTGAATCTTCTTAAAGGTTTAAAGTTTAAGTTAAATCGGAAAACCTTGTCAAACTTGTACAAAAGTCTTATTAGACCATTGTTAGAATATGTCGATGTATTATGGGATGGGTGTTCTGACAATGAAAGTGATTTAATTGAGCATGTACAATATCAGTCAGCCATGGTGGTCACACGTGCTATGAGGGGTACTAGTAGGTCAAGAGTATTGGAAGATCTGGCTTGGGAAGATATGAAAACTAGA